CTCCAGAAGTGGTGAATGCTCCATCACTGGAGATTTTTAAAAAGAGACAGGACAGCCATTTGTCCGAAATGGTGTAGGGTTTCCTGCCTGAGCAGGGGGTTGGACTAGATGACCTCCAAGGTCCCTTCCAACTTTATTGTTATTTTTATTACATAACTTTCTACATATACCCATGTACATTGGAACCCGCAGCTATTTTCAGTTCCTCTTTTCCCACGGTTACCCTACTCATGTTCCAAATATACACGGAACGACCTACTTTGCAATTTCACGTGGCACAAAGCTCAGCAGATTACAAATGACACGTCCGTGTTGTGAAACAATATAGAGTTCGAGTTAACGCTTTTGTTTTAAATCACTACCGTGGGTTTTGCTCCAGCCTCATCTCGTTATATGAGGAGGGGGCTGCATTTTCATCTCCCACAATCTCCAAGGTCCCTTCCCGCTCCGTCATTCTTTTGTTTTAAGGATCTTTGGTTTCCCGGCCTCTGCAGATAAAACCAATTCCATTTTCTCTCTTGCCCAATTCAAATCTTCGCGGAGAAGTAAACGGGAGACAATTGGGAGGGGTGGGTTACAGTGCCCCCCCCGCTTCATTCTGGGTCTGCTGCTCCTTGCACCCCACTTTTCCCAAACCCCCCCCTTTCCTTACCTCCTTTCCCAGCTGGTCTTAAGGGTTGAATTTTTCTCAATCTAGAGAAATTATTGTTCACCCACCACTTTATATACCTTCCATAAGCAGGCTAACCCAGTGATAAAATCTGCAGGAGCCCTTCAGACGCCATTGTAAGATTTCTGGAGTGTATCTAAACGTTATTAGTCTACCCATTCAGAAAGACAATGTCATTTAGATTGTTCTTCGGAGTTTCTAATTGTGCTGGTTTGGGGCCTGGAGAGATCAGTAAAATATTAAGTCCTGGTGTCAAAGCCAGCTCCTTTCATCTGAATATTCCCCCAAGGTGTTGGAAACACAATGTACCCTTGTTTGCATCAGAACAGAATAAGTCCCTGATAACGGAAAGGCCATGGAGAACCTCCTAGACAAATATTTTTGAATTCTGAGCACGGTGATAATTTGATAAGAACCAAACCAAACCAAACAAAACAAAACAACAACCTAGGGTCACTGGAAGTTTTTAAGAAGAGACTGGACAGCCATTCATCCAGACGGGTCTAGGGCAGGGGTAGGCAACCTTGGCTCTTTTATGACTCGTGGACTTCAACTCCCAGAATTCCTGAGCCAGCCACGCTGAGGGGAAAGGGAGAGGTTTCCATGCTGAGGCATGCTGGCTGAGGAATTCTGGGAGTTGAAGTCCACCAGTCATGAGGGGGCCATAGTTCCCCCATGCTGGCTCAGGAATTCTGGGAGTTGAAGTCCACCAGTCACGAGGGGGCCATAGTTCCCCCATGCTGGCTCAGCAATTCTGGGAGTTGAAGTCCACCAGTCATGAGGGAGTTCCCCCATGCTGGCTGAGGAATTCTGGGAGTTGAAGTCCACGAGTCATGAGGGGGCCATAGTTCCCCCATGCTGGCTCAGGAATTCTGGGAGTTGAAGTCCACAAGTCATAAAAGAGTTATGGTTGCCAGAGCTGTCAAACTCACAACATCACGTGACGTGTCGTGACTTTTTTGCCATTGCTGGCAATTGGGTGGACGCGGTTTCGCTATGATGCACCTGGCCCGTGGGCCGGCAGTTTGACACCCCTGGTATAGGATCTCTTGTTCGAGTGGAGGGTGGGACTAGAAGACCTCCAAGGTCCCTTCTAGCTGTGTTCTTCCGTATTCTGTATAAAACACTACATTACCACTCTAAAGACGATCAGGCGATCTGGAGGCTAAAACCTATTATGAATGTTATGCAGGTTTCTAATATCTCAGGGGCTGCCCCAAAGAAGAGGGGGTCAACCTACTCTCCAAAGCACCTGAAGGCAGGACAAGAAGCAACAGGTGGAAACTTCTCAAGGAGAGATCCTATCAAGAATTAAGATGGAATTTCCTGACAATTAGAACAATTAATCAGTGGAACGGCTTGCCTTCACAAGCTGTGGGTGTGCCAACATTGGAGGTTTTTAAGCAGGGATTGGACAACCATCTGTCTGGAGTGGTGTAGGGTTTCTTGCCAGAGCAGGGGGTTGGACTAGAAGACCTCCAAGGTCCCTTCCAGCTCTGTTATTCTGTTTGCAGGAACTAGATATGTCTAACGTAATGAAGAGAAGGACTAGGGGTGATATGATAGCAGTCTTCCCATATTTGAGGGACTGACGCAGAGAAGAGGGGGAATCAACCTATTCTCCGAAGGGCCTGAAGGCAGGACAAGAAGCATTAATAGAGAGTTCCAGCATACAATTAAGGAGAAATTTCCTAATAGAACAATTAACCAGCGGAACTACCTGCCTCCAGAAGTTGTGGGTGTTCCATCACTGGAGGTTTTCAGGAAGAGATTGGACTGTCCAGAATTGTATAGGGACTCCTGCTCAAGCAGGGGGCTGGATTAGAAGACCTCCAAGGTCCCTTCCAACTCTGTTTTTCTGTTATTCTGATGGCAAGAATTGGGTATGTCTAGTTTAATGAAAAGAAGGACCAGGACATGATAGAAGACTTCCAATATTTGAGGGGTTGCCATAAAGAAGAGGGGGTCTACCTGTTCTCCAAAGCACCTGAAGGCAGGACAAGAAGTAACGAATGGAAACTCATCAAGGAGAGAAGCAACCTAGAAATAAGGAGAAACTTCCTGACTGTTAGAACAATTGACCAGTGGAATTGCTTGCCTCCAGAAGTTGTGGGTGCTCCATCACGGAGCTTTTCAAGAAGAGATTGGATTCCTTGCGGGACCTGCTGATGGATCACACGACACATTAAGCCGAATCTAGATCAACCACGTCATGGTGTAGCATGTTGGATGGACTAGTTCTCCTCCTTTTCTCTCTTATTCTGGGCCCCCGATGGACAGCTGACCTCTTCCAGGCCGTTGGCTTGGCAGATCACCTGGAAGAGTCACATGCACCTGGCACGGAAGAATGTCTCTTAGTTTCAAGATGTCAGTGAAAAATATTTATCTTGGAAGTTCTCCTGATGAGTTTGGATCACATCTCCGTGGTTATCAACGCCCTGAATCGGTTCTTTCATCCACGGGGAAGTATATAACTGGCAACCCAAGAGAAGATTCGTGGGCAAAGGGTTGAGCACATTGAGGAAGCTCCATCCATCCAGACATGTAAGTAAACTGTGTGATGGTCCAAAGGTACCCCAGATGGGGGAAGGAGTCCCTTCTGAGAACGTTGATGGACACGTACGATTGGGGTTGAGTCTCCCGTCTAGCCTTTCCTGCATCTTTACCTCCAGAGTCTGGGGTGCAACTCCAGCAGGCTTAGAAGGGGCCACCCTTGTCTTCTTCTGCAGAGTTGCAAATGCAAGTTCTCATGGTTTGAAAAATTGTTCAGTTGGTTTCCTCCAGATGTTTTCATCTAGAGAGAAGGGGCATCAAGGGCACTTGGCAGTCATATCAAAGTCCGTTTTACTGCCTGGGGATGTCTGGAAACCCAAGCAGCTGTTGGCCTTCAGTTGCCATCCCTACAGAGACTGGACAGCCACCAGATACCTCTGGGCTGTGTCCCTTGAGTTGAGGTGCCCACGAAATCTTTGACTCTGTCGCAGAGAAGGACCAGGGTTGACATATTAGCAGCCTTCCAATATCTCAGGGGCTGCCCCAAAGAAGAGGGAGTCAAGCTATTCTCCAAAGCACCTGAAGGCAGGATGAGAAGCAACTGATAGGAACCAATCAAGGAGAGAAGCAACCTAGAACTAAGGAGGAATTTCCTGACAGTGAGGACAATTAATCAGTGGAACAGCTTGCCTCCAGAAATTGAGTGTGCTCCATCACTGGAGGTTTTTAAGAAGAGACTGGATAGCCATTTGTCTGAAATGGTGTAGACTCTCCTGCTTGAGCAGGGGGTTGGACTAGATGACCTCCAAGGTCCCTTCCAACTCTGTTATTCTGCATCCGGCATAAAACATTAGACTAAACAAAGATAATGGGTTTGGGAGGCTAAACTATATATGGTTAAGGGTTGTGGGAACTGGGTACGTTTGGAGAACCAAAACAAGAGATTGGGTAACCATTTGTCTGAAACAGTACAGGATCTGCTGCCTGAGCAGGGGGTTGGACTAGAAGGCCTTCAAGGTCCCTTCCAGCTCTGTTATTCTGTTAATAGGGCCAGAACATCAAAATGACAGAAACTGAGTCAGGGGCAATGAAGGGCACCTGTGTCCTCCGTGGCTACCATTTCTGTTATTTAACAGCCATTCAGGGTTAGCCAGTTTCAGCCTTTGAGCCTATCCCATAATGGGAAATGATCAGCCTAGACCAGGGATCTTCAAACCTGGCCCTTTGATGACTGGTGGACTTCAACTCCCAGAATTCCTCAGCCAGGCACGCGTGGGAGTTGAAGTCCACCAGTCATCAAAGGGCCAAGTTTGAAGACCCCTGTCTTAAATCTAACAAACAAAATGGAGCCTGGCTGAGGAATTCTGGGAGTTGAAGTCCACATGCCTTAAAATTGTCGAGGTTGAGAAACACTGGCCTAGACCAAGGGTCTTCAACCCTGGCCCTTTGATGACTGGTGGACTTCAACTCCCAGAATTCCTCAGCCAGCCTCCATTTTGTTTGTTAGATTTAAGACAGGGGTCTTCAACCCTGGCCCTTTGATGACTGGTGGACTTCAACTCCCAGAATTCCTCAGCCAGCCTCCATTTTGTTTGTTAGATTTAAGACAGGGGTCTTCAAACTTGGCCCTTTGATGACTGGTGGACTTCAACTCCCATGCGTGCCTGGCTGAGGAATTCTGGGAGTTGAAGTCCACCAGTCATCAAAGGGCCAAGTTTGAAGACCCCTGGCCTAGAGCATAATCCGGCCTTTTCTTTATTCCCTGAATCTAAAGACGGATGTTGTCATTCCACATGTTTTCAGCCAAGGATTCGTTGCTGACTTTCTGTCAGTCACCATGGATCTAGCCCTCAAGATGCCCTTGTTTGGGGTGCTGGTCTTCTTCTGTGTCGCAATGGCGCCTTCGGAAGCAGGAGATTCCTGTACAGCTAACGTGATATTTGAGCCACCGACACTATTGCGCAGTAAGTAAAAGGGCATATATCCTGGTAGCTGAGATGGTTGTAAGAATACTGGGGAAAATTTCAAAGAACAGCTTGCATAGAGGGAGGGAGGGAGGGAGGGAGGAGGAAGGAAGGAAGGAAGGAAGGAAGGAAGGAAGGAAGGAAGGAAGGAAGGAAGGAAGGAAGGAAGGAAGAGAGAGGGGGGGAGCAAGGGAGGGAGGGTGGAAGGAAGGTAGGAAGCAAGGGTGGAAGGAAGAAAGGATAGATTCTGAGATAGGAAGGAAGAAAGGAGAAAGGAAGGAAGGAGAAAGGAAGGAAAGAAGGAGGAAGGGAGGGAGGGAGGGAGGAGGGAAGGAGAGTGGGATGAGTAAAAAGAAAGAAAAAAGAAAAGAAAGAAAGAGGGACAGAGGGAGGAAGGAAGGAAGGAAGAGAGGGAGCAAGGAAGGGAAGGAGGGAGGATGGAAGGAAGGAAGGATGGAAGGAAAAGGAAGAAAGGAAGGAAGGATAGATTCTGGGATAGGAAGGCAGGACAAAGAAAAGAAGGAGAAAGGAAGGAAGAAAGAAAGGAAGGAGAAAAGAAAGAAGAAGGGAGGGAGGGAGGGAAGGAGGAAGGACAGAGGGATGAATAAAAAGAAAGAAAAAAGAAAAGAAAGAGGGACAGAGGGAGGGAGGAAGGAAGGACATGGGAAGGAAGGGATAAAAAGAAAGAGAAGAAAGAAATGAAAGAAAGAGCAAGGAAGAAGATGGAAAGGGAGGGAGAGAGAAAGAGAAAGAAGAAAGAGAAAAAGACAGAAAGAAAGGAGGGAGGGAGGAGAGAAGGAAGAAAAAAGGACGAGAGGAAAGAATGAAAGAGGGGAATAAAGAAAAAAATAAAAGAAAAGGAAGGATGGATGGAAAAAAGAAAGGAGAAAGAGAGAAGGAAAGAAAGAGAGAGGGGGGAGGGAGGAAGGGAGGAAGACTTTTGATTTTGGAATGAAATAAATCGGTTTTCCAGTTCCTTCTTTCTCAGCCACGTAAAAGTAGGAAGACGCTGAAAGCTGGAAATGTGGAGAACTTTGTTTCTATCACCAGATTTTCTCCTAGTAGTTAGTTGAAAATATTCTCTCCCAAACACTCCAGGCATCCATTCCAGATGGGAATCGTCGTCCTGTCCCATGTTCCCATTTTATGCAAAGATCTCCTTCCTTCCTTCCTTCCTTCCTTCCTTCCTTCCTTCCTTCCTTCCTTCCTTCCTCCTTCCCTCCCTCCCTCCCTCCCTCCCTCCCTCCCTT